ATGGTGTCTGTTTCTCTGATGTGATAAACTCAGTCTGACTTCTAGGATGCTGTTTGAGCCCTTTAATCACTAATAACATAAATATATTTAAATTTTATAGGATTGTGGGTCTTGGAAAGCCGCTTTTTAACAATGATCCAATATATAATTATACACTATATCATATACGTTTACTACTACTCATATTCGTAAAAAAAAAAAAAAGAAAAAACCTGTATCCTCATATCCCCAGAGGCTGTATGACAATGATCAGGTTATTTATCAGTTTATAAGTCCTCATCACGCATAATATAAGGATGCATGTGGGATATATTACAATTCCAAAGAAAATGGCTGCTGTTCTATTTGTTTACCTATTACATCTAAGATGAGTGACAGTAACATGAAATCGTTCTATATTTTTCTGTGAATATGATTTGATATTAACCTGATATACAAGATGCCTTTTTGGACAGTGCCAAATAGGAAGCTCTCTGTAGAAAACCAATCAATATTCATTTAGGCATTTTAGGGATCTTTAATAATTACTCAGTCTTAATGATTAGTCAGTCAAATATTTATTTGCCAAGAATTTTATTTTTTCAGGGTGTGGAATTGTAAAAATACAAAGGAAAAAGTTAGTTTGTAGTCAAAAGTTTTTAACAAGAAAAAAATACCATCTGATATCAGATGTCAAAAACAGCAACAGAACCAAACAAGATTGTAAATCTTCCTCAGAGTTTGAAGTGTCCGAGTTCCTTTTTACAGCAAATAAGAATTTCTGACATTCAACAAATATTTTGGGTGCAGTTTTAGTCTATTTTGGGGTTTTCTTTTTTCTCAAAACTCCCCAAACCCTTTCTAAAGCTCAAAATCACTGAACGAAAAATAAACAAGCTTAATATCTGAATGAAATATTTCCTGATTTTGTGAATGATCTTATTTTACATCACGTGTTCCATTGAAAGCTAATGTTTTTCTTCTCTCATGTTACAAATCAGTTTAGTATTAACTGAAATAGAAATTATGACAGCTTGAGTTCTCTCTCAACACTACTGTATTCCCTTTTTTGTGGTACAACACAGATATTTTCTCAGGTACTGCTTAAATGTCTTGTCTCGTAGCCCATACACGATGGGACTGACGAACCGGGGAACAACCTGGATGATGATGTACCAAACGAAGAGAACTTGTATGTAATGTTTAGGGAACCAACTCACCAAAGCAGTTTTTAGAAGGTGGGCTAAAAAAGTGAGCATACTTAACAGCAGCTGGAAGCCATGAAGCAGGATTGTGTTCCTGGCCTTTTTTATTTTTCCATCTGATGAATTAGCAGCTTTGGCAGCAACGAAAATCTTGAAGTAGGTGTAGAGGAGGGTGAGCCAGACTCCACCGAGATAGATCAGGTAAGAAACATCTCTCTTCTGCAAACTAGCTGGGTGTCTGAACAGGTTATCCCTCTCACAGAATATGATGGAGTAAAATAACCGTTCAGGCTCTGTTGCTATAATGATAAAGACATCTGTCAGAATGGACACTGCACTCACAGCCCAAATACAGCAAATCAGCACATATGTTCTTTTAACGGTACAGAGCCGTGAGTGTTGCAGAGGGAAGCAAACTGCTATGTAACACTCCACTGCCATCACAGCCAGATTTAAAGGAGTGTTGAGGGTGGTGAATACAGTAAAGATAAGAATAAAGCAACAGAGGGAGGCATGGATCTTATAGAAGACATAACTACATATAAACAGACTGATAGCTGCAGTGAGCTGGATCATGTCATTCAACACCAGGTGGATGAACAGGAT